CACACACACACACACACACACACACACAAGCTAGATAAGAGGATGCCCCCCAAGCTACTATGTATAAACAGGGTGCAGACCCCATACTCACTCACACTGAAGATGTTACCGAGCTGGGTAATGAAATGTTTGCAAGCAAACAACCAAGCTCAGAGACTCCATATGCTAAATAAATGGGAAGTTATAAGAGAAGTGGGGTGTCCCTGCTTTTGCAGGCTTGAGCCTTGGCAGCCATGACAGGCTTGGCATTCCTAGCCAAAGGGTCTCCTACAGAAGATCACCACCTGACAGGCTAACCCTTGAAGCCCCAAATGAAGGACTATTCATTCTTTCCTCTGAATTCCTTTCAGATGACTCAGTGAGCATGCCCAGTGTGGTAAGTGAACAGGAAGCATACCTTATGGGGACCATTGGGAGGAGGCGATTCTCCAGCCATCTCTCCAGCATGTCCGCACCCCAGGCTGAAGTGGGCATGTTACCCAGTCAAAGGTAACAAAATGGCCTGTTTCTCATTTCCTGATATTTTTCACAAGAACAGAAATTACAAAGGTATAATAGAGCTTATAATTCAGAGGTGTTGGGGTAAAGACCAGACAAAATAAAGCAGATCCAGTCCTGGCTTTTTATGAGTGTTTGCAATAGGGATATGCTTAGTAATCATCCTCATTAAAAACATTCAGGTTTTCTTAGGTACTTCTCATCAGCTGCAAAAAGAGCTGTATTAGTCAATGTTACTTTTCCATGATGTATTTTAAAGGTTCAAAACCCTAGTGCTTGAATTATATCTCTATCTGAAGATATTTGCAAATGCACTTTTAAAAATCAAATGCAGACACATTTGGCTTGGAGGGGATATCCATGAATGGCTGAATTACTTCTGTAGTTGCACATTGAACAAACTGCCTTCTGAGCAAATTTATTCTTGTAATGCACAAGTCTTTGGAAGTATGTGTGGGTAGACAGAAATGGAGGAATACATAAATTGTTTTACATAAACTAGTAAACCAACAGCTTCAGATTGCAATGCCTTATATTCACAATCACTTTTCAAGTATTAGAAACTCCGGTACCCCCTCCCCACCCTTTCCTGATGCCTAATCCTGATTTAGGTAACTAGCTGGCAAGGATTTAATCTGGTGATATATACTTAACCGTGCTTAGCAGACTTTTCTTAGATAGTTCTGGACAGTGAACACACAAGACAGGAGATGAAACTTTACAAAGCTAGGCTACAATGACCAATTGGAAAACAAATCGGTCTGAATTCACTCTGCAGGCCTCTTGTGACTGCTTTCCTCATGGGTCAAAAGCGGTTTTATTAGGGTTTTTAAAAAATCACAGGAGAGCCAAATTAGATCTTCTGTGCCTCATCTCCTCTGGAAACAGACACAGCTACTTTAATTAGTCACAGACAGCTGCTTCCTGCATTCTGGGGGGCCTCTTCCACATCAAACCCACTGCATGCCACTAGCAGTTGTGGTACTTAACAGAGCTGTCAGCTTTCTCAAATAACTTTGGCTTTAATATAAAAAAGTCATATTTATCTCGCTTTTAATATTTTAAAAGTTTCAGTAATGTTCTGCTATACATTCTACTTGTTAGCTGAAAAATATGTTTTCCTGATCATATTTGGAAAAAAAATCAATAGAATCACAAGCGTTTATCAGTTTAATTAAAGGTGTTTGAATTCCCGACAATTGAGAAGTGAGAGAGATAAGGTTTGATCATTTTTGTGGCAAGGGGAAATTATTTTAACTGCAATGTGCTATTGTATTACAAACCAGGAAAAAAAAAAAAAGACGGGATTGCACTTTGGGGCAATGTTCCCGAACATTATAGGACTAGGGTTATGAAATAGTGCAGTCTTGTTTAGACGGCTGGATGGATCAAAGATCCCATCATCAAAAGAGAACGCAGACTTGTCTACTACTGAGGATATTTTAACTATGCTTCCAAATATACAGTTGGGAGATCAGAGGACTGAAACTTCTCCTAAGCCCTAGTGTTGGATTAGTGCCACATTCCACATATCCTCTCCAAATAAATCTTTTGGCATCTCCCACCTCAGTAGTTCAGTTCAGTGGCTGGGAGGTAGAGGAAGTTGGGAAGCTCAAATGCCTGACTACTGCTTATGCCTATGAAAGGAAAAATGGTTTATGACTGTGAATTATATTTTTCACTGAGACTAGATGGGAGTTAGCCTCTAAATGTGTTATATAAATGTGGAGATCGTTGCATCACATCTTCTCTATGCAGGAAGCTCTTTAGATTGGAGGAAAATTCGTCTTTCAATCTTTCAGTTGCTTCTCTTCAAGGAATTAGTGTTGAGGCCAATTTGCTCTCCTTTATTTTCTCTACTATCCTTCTGATACTTATTTTCTTTGAACACAGAGACAATTGCATGCTTTAAAAACATATTTTCTTCCTTAAATGCTTCACCTCCTTGCCCATCCTGCAGTGAACCCAATGTCCTCGATGACTCCCAAGGCCTGGCCGCTGAGGGCAGCCTCTCTAGGTACAGTGTTTACCCTACTGTATGTCAGTGTCTGTGCTGGGAACAATCTGCTCCCTATCTTCACTGTCTCTCTTCCATCCTGATTCTCTTTTCCTCCATTTCAGTTTCTTGTTCTTCACTGATGGTCAGGCCTGCAAGTCAAAGGTGTAGCAACCTGAGCTAGGTGTGTGCTCTGGCTCCATCAACCTTTATTGGCAAAATAAAATTCAAAGAGCAGTGTGGAGCAAAGCTGCCAAACCATCTAGGTTATCTGTTGGAGCAGTTCTCTTCTTCCCTCATTCCCTTTGTAGTTTTGACTACAGGAATATAAGAAACATTTATCGCACATTACTAAAAGAATAGTTAAGGTACACACAGCTGGAGGCTTTAAAAAATAAAGCTGCTCCTTCTATTTGTTCATAATATAGTTAGGAATGTTAATCTTTTATAAGCATTAGTATAGTGTTCATATAGATTAATCACAAAGATATGGCTGTGCAGAGTTAGCAGCTTGTGCTTGTTAGAATTACATAAGCTTTTTCCGTAAGTAGCTTGATTACAGTGCTTTTTATATTATGAAAGTGCATTATCTGGATTTTACTTTCACCTTCTAAAGAAAGCAACTATTTTCAAGAAAGCAAAACAAAACACAAAACAAAACACCCAAGAACAACCTTATTTTCAGATCTTGTTCCTTTTTTCGCCTGTCATTAGTTATAAATGTAATGTTTTTGGCTGTCAATGAGAGGCTGCAGAAATAAGTGGATGTAACTGACTGGTGCAATATCCTTGTTGTGATTATGGCATCAACTGTTAATCAATAACAAATGTAATGTTTTTGGCTGTCAATGAGAGGCTGCAGAAATAAGTGGATGTAACTGACTGGTGCAATATCCTTGTTGTGATTATGGCATCAACTGTTAATCAATAACAAATGTAATGTTTTTGGCTGTCAATGAGAGGCTGCAGAAATAAGTGGATGTAACTGACTGGTGCAATATCCTTGTTGTGATTATGGCATCAACTGTTAATCAATAACAAATGTAATGTTTTTGGCTGTCAATGAGAGGCTGCAGAAATAAGTGGATGTAACTGACTGGTGCAATATCCTTGTTGTGATTATGGCATCAACTGTTAATCAATAACAAATGTAATGTTTTTGGCTGTCAATGAGAGGCTGCAGAAATAAGTGGATGTAACTGACTGGTGCAATATCCTTGTTGTGATTATGGCATCAACTGTTAATCAATAACCCTAACCTTAACCCATTTGGCAGGCAAAAAAGGAACATGAGCCTTGATTTTTTGAAATCAGACATCTGGCAACGTTCACTTTGAAACTAAAATATCCTTACACAAGGAGTAAGATAGATGCCTTTAAATATGCCTTTAAAGTATATTTGTTTTAAGATATAATGGGATGACTGCACCTTTAATGTTCAGCTCAATCATTTGAATCATTTTTACTGTTCTGCTGTGTGGATGCCTCTCACCTGGCCCACTGTAGCTAGGAAGGCTCCTATTTTACTTCGTGCCTCATTAAAGAAAACCATTATAGAAAACTGTATCAATTGTGCCAAGACTGCTGCCTTCTTTAACACTCTAATGCTCAGGCAATATTAAGAAGGATTATTGGGAATTACCTCTTTGCTTCAGTGTGTCATTGTTTTTAGATATTAAGGACAGGAAATTATCTATTACTGGCCGTGGTATAAAAACATACATGGGAGAGAAAAATACACTTTTGTGTGTAGAAAGTAGGGATTTATAACATGAATCAAACATCCTGATGTGTCTGAACAAGCATGAATTAAACAGAAAAATAAACTTATCTGAAGTCCCATTGACTTCAGTGGGATAAACTTCTGGATAGATATATAGGGTGTTCCAGAAGTAATAGGGTTCTCAAAATTTGGGAGTAAATCTGAAAAAAAAGCTTAAAAAAATAGTAACTTTGTGCAGGAGGTGATGATAATGATAATGATGAATTTATTTATTTGGTAACTGCCCTATAACTTCTGGGAAACCCTATAAATAGTATTGCAGTTACAGAAAACATCTTCTAAAGGCAACTTAATTCAAAATAAATTTGAACCAAATTTTCTATACAGTGGACAACATCCATAGGATTAATTACAATGGAAATTTTGTTACCATCAAGCAACATTAGACATTGTATAGGCGATTAATTAATAAAAAGTGCATAGTACCTATAAATCAGTAAAAAATTATTGTATTATTAAGTCAGTATCCTTAGGAATAGTATCCCCATTATATGGAGGTTCACCATTTACTAGCTTGCTTATTGAAATACTTACATTCCACTTTTTAATTTTTAAAATTTAATAAACAAATGCCCTGATGACAATTTAGGAACATTAACATTGAAATATTAAATGAAAAAGAGCAAAATATTACAAAATACATTAAAATTGTTCATATGAATTTGGATACGGTTAGCTGTGGAACGTTTTTCCTAGAGAAAAGATGTCTCTACCCCCCTCCAAACTCGTTTGAAAGTTGATAATGCTAGGAAAATAAGAAGGAAAATATAAAGGCACCATTATGATTCCATCGCTTGAAAAAGACACCTGGATGGAATGACTTATGTATAGAGCAGTATCTAAGAATGTATTCAACTGAGCATCCTTGTATTATTGTTAGTTATTCTTAGTATCACTTATTATACCATTATCTGATTAAATTCAATTTTTAAAAAAGAAAACAAAACAATGGCTTGCAAAGACCACCCAGGATTGAATCTGAATAAGTATCTGAATATATGATTCTACTATATAACACTAGCTTATAGGAGATTAAGAACAGTTGTGTGGAATTTCTCACAATTAGGTGCCTGGCTATGAAACTGCTCTCTTATAAATAATAACTTGTCTTCCTCAGAAACTGAAGCTGAGGAAAATGCCAAATGACAGTCATCTGGACTGTGTATTCATAAATATCATAAAGGGGAGTCTCCAGCCCGGTTAAGATGTTAACAGAGTGGAATAGGAGCTGTTTTCCACTATTCATACCATGCTTTCAAGTTCGGTTCTGGTGTAGAAAAAGGACCAAGCCATTTAGCCAGTCCAAGTATTTAATTCTTTACACTTCAAGTTCATTCAAGTTCAGATCATGACAATTAATCACCAGACATAACAATGTCAATGTGTGCACCAACTTTTTCCCACTCCCACCATCTGTGGAATTGCTGGCAGCATTGGAATGAGTAAGGTAGGGCAGATAATGCTAAAAATAACCATCAGTATTCAAATTCTTCCTGTATACCATATCAAACCCAATGCTCCCAGATGTTATCCATAGTTTTTTTTAAAATGTATATTTGAGTAGTAAGTCAGTCATATAATTCTTTTCACTGTGTTTCAAGCTGTTTCCATGCCTTGTTTCCATATGCTTACTTTTACATTCATTCTGTTGGGAATGTAGTATTTTCTAAGATTTCTCCATACAAGACTCATTCTTTATCTTCCTATAGTTCTATTTTCACTCTTACACTTCTTTTCTTCTATGTCTATGTTTTACCAAGATCCACTCCTGACAGTACCACGTAATGGTCAGTCTCACATTCAGAATCTATTTATTTATTCATTCATTCATTCATTCATTCATTCATTCATTCATTCATTCATTCAATTTCAAGGCTGCCTGACTCCACAGTGACTCTGGGTGGCTTAGAATTAAAAAAATTGAAAGAAAACAACTTGTAACAAAGAAAAAGAATACAGCTGACCAGAAGACAGAACTAAAAACCAAAGGGATACAACCACCATCCTAACCCAAGGCCTGGGAGAACAATTTGCAGAACATTTAAAGGGTGGAGTAGTATGGATCTCCAGAGCGATATCATTCTACAGGACAGGAGCCATCACTGAATCTCTTATAAGACTTCTCTCCTTCACTAACTCTCTCACTCTTTTATCATAAATAAGCAAATTAATCATGTGTTTCAATTTACATTCATTCCTTTCTTATGTGTATGTATGTATAGACTTAACCACATATTCAAAACTGAATTTTTTTTAAGCAGTAAGCACGAAGCAATAACCATCCTAATTCATTTTTGCATCTTCAAATGGCTCGATCACTTTTTCTGTATTCTCTTCCTTGTTCCTATCCATCCATTTATGTCAATTCACTATAATTTGGAGCTCATTCATTCAGATTGTTGCACATTGTTCCCAAACTTATCCCTGGTTCTTCCATTATCACCATTAACTGGAGCACAATATATAACTATCAACTATCTATGGATTCCTATTTTCAAATACACCCATAATATCCTAGATGACACCAATTCATACTTTTTGATATAATATTTAACCCTTTCCTTTATAACTAAACCGACATCTTCACGTCATAGCATGTATCCATCAACTCCTCTCTACAAGATCAAAACACCTTTATTCAGATCTACTACATCTTTCCCGTTTCCCTCAATTTCACAGATCTGCAACAGATCAATTTTACTTTTTTTAGTTTCATTTTTGATTCATGTTCTTTGCTGTTTGTGCCTCTTACGTTCGAAGTCATAGTCTTGCATATGGCACGATAATCACCAGATGGTCCATAGATATTGACCACCAATGTTCACCTTGGCTTTGGTCAATCAAGGTTTTCACATAACACTTTTTAGTGTTTATACTCTTTCCAAAATAGCACTGACAATTCATATTGTCATTTCAAATCAGATCATAATACAACTCATAATGATGACAGTGGTAGCTGATGTTTCATTTTCCAAACATTAGTTCTGTTGTAATTGCTCTTAGAAATAGACCAATAATAAACTTTGTGTAGACTAGTAACTAATAGTAAAAGTTTTACTAGTAACTAATAGTAAAAGTTGGTACTGTAAGGGCCATTTCATTAAACTGAACAAGAGTAAAAATCATGTGGTAAAATTATGAAACAATCCTCAGTACCTGAATACTTTTATTTTTAGTTGAGTAATAAATGAAAACTTCTGTACATCTTGCTGACAATCAGGTAAAACAAAAGAATGCTCTGATGGCCTTGAAAGTCAGAAGGATCTGCTACCAAGGCAATGATCAGATAAATAAAACCTGAGCCCAGGCCAAGAAAGTAATTTGCGAAAACCCCTCAGACAGCCCCCCCCCCCAATTCTCATGAAGATAAAAGAGGGAGGAAAGGTGGCACATTCAGACTTGCAAGATTGATGTCAGCCATATCAAGTAGACTAGACCAAGAAACAGACAGCATGCAGATCTAAGGTATTTTATTATTAGTTTATTACTTTTATTATAACAGCTAAAGTATCCGAATCTTGCAAGTCTGAATGTGCTTACCTAATATCTGTGCATCAATTCAATTTTTCCCCACCGTGTATGCAGTATTGCTACTGTGCATTTTAATCACATGTATTATTTTCAGTAGTATAGGGTATTTTTAGCTGACTACTACTAGATAATTTTAAAATCTTGGAAGAGCATTCTTTAAGCTGATCTTTGCATGTTCTGATACATAATTGTCTTTCATAATAATCTGTTTTCAAGTTTTCACATTGCTATTTTGTAAGCTGAAGAATTATGGTCTCTGATGAATTTTGTTCTAAGTCACATTCAGCCCAGATTTCTCTTAGGCTTCATTAACACTTATTATTAATAGTGCCATCTGGAGAGGAGGTCTATCTTAAAGCAGGGAGAGATGGATTTAGAACTCCTCATCTGCCTTAGGTATTGAGTAACCACGGCATATTAATGGAATAGATATTGGCATATTGTTGCTAAATGGTGGCATTTTATATTCTTCCCATCTTCCTAAAGCAATAAATATACTAAAACATCTGATAATAGCAACCTGTTAGTTTTGTCTAACTCATAGTCCCACAGAAGGAGCAGGCTTTGTTTCGTCTCATGTCAGAAATGCAGGAACTAGAAAGGAGATAATTATTAATCTAAATTTTAAAATTTTTAAAAACTTTAATAAAAGTATAGATTTATATAATTCTTGCCCAATTCCAGGCCACGTTAATGGCAAAGATATTTCCGACCAGCAAGTCATTCTGTGTGCATGTCGATCCCAAGGAG